TAATGAATCTGAATCCAAGGGATCCTAAATCCATAGTCTCTGTTTAATTTTGAAAGCATATCTTCTAGGTCATTGTTTTGAAAAACACCTGGGAGAAACTCATTGACACACCAATAATAAGTACATTCATATCTTTTCTTTGAAGTTGCTTATCTAATTTTGTTATTCAAATCTACAAAAATCTATATTTCCAGAATGTGTGGCAAGTTACTTACAATTCTAATAGTGGATCTAGTTTACATAAAAAGAGTTTGGGAGCACTCAAATCAGTTATTCTCACTGTAAATACTTGATGACAGTATTTCTTCAGGGCTGAGATAAGGTATAAAAAGAAGAGAAACAAAATGCTTCCTCATATCCACACAGTGAGGACCTCATACTCTTCCAGTATCCCAAGCAGAAAAACAATAGAAAGCACGTTTTCCTCCCAAGAGCATACTTGGCTGGTACATGATGATATAGGAAACAGAATCAGACTCCCTCATCTTAAACTCTGATCTTCTGCCTCAGGTTCTACTGTTTCAAGGCAACAGAAGAGTAGCCCCATGCTAGTGCATCTGTCTGTGGTGGAGAAATATGATAGTTAAGACCAAATCTTTAAACAGACAAATCCAAGAGACATTATAGCCTCCCCTAAGCCTGAAGAATCCATTTTAATACTTTCCCTAGAATATTTATTTGCATGATACAGAGAAACTTTTTAAGTGCTAACTGAAGATCATTCAGAAATCAGAACACATTTCTGTTGTGATTTTTTTTTTTATTTCAGTGGGAAAATGATTTTGTTTGTTGGTTTTCCACAAAAGTCTGTCTTACTGAGGTATATATAGTCAGGCCATATGGTAGAACTTTTTTCTTTTTTAGAGAAACTTCCAAACTCATTTCCATAGTAGCTGGATTAGTTTACATTCCCAGCTGTACCTCTCCTGGGTGTTTAACCAAAGGACTCTGAGTCAACAGCACAGCAAGACATGTACATCCATATTACAACAACTCACGATAGCTAAGTGATGGAACCAACCTAGGTGTCCACCTGCAAAGGAGTGAAGAAAACAGGGATTTTAAAAAAATCTATAACAAAAAACAAATTTATGTCATATGGAGGAAAATGGGTGCAACTAGAAATAATCACATTAAGTGAATTAAGCCAGTCTCAGAAATACAAATACCATTTTTTTTCTCATTTGTAGTTTGCAAATTTCAAATAGATACATAAAATCATTTATATTATGTGACATGAGAACAGAAGCAAAACTTTCTAGGAAAACAAAGGAACTAAGGGAAGTTAGTGAAATGGAGGGAGATAGACAGAGAGGATATGTGTTTAATGCACGTGATGTACTTGTATGACGATGTTCTTGTGTAGCTCAATACCTGATACAGTGAATACACAATGGAAATTGTTTTAAACTATAATAAGTTAGCTGTATGATATATTAGCTCAAGATTAGATGACAAGAAACTGTTTCATAATTTTAGCACATTTTGAGAATGAGGCAGACTAGGAAAGGGGTAAGTTTTATAATTAAGATCTCTCAAATTTATCAGCAGTGTATCTTGACAAGACCACCTCCTCTTGCTAAATGAGATTGGCAGTGCTGAGGTAGGAATCACCAGTACCTTTAGTCCTGGTTTAGATAGTTTGGAGAGTCTATTCAGCTTTCTATTATAATGGGACTTTAAAACTTTTTACATCTATCATCGATTGTTTACTCATGTAAGTATGATGAGAAAAAGTTGAGAAGGATAATTCAGTCTACTTTGAGTGAGTGCCCATGACCTAGAAATGGCCTCCTTTTCTCCTAAACATTTCTCCTCTTCTCTAAGAAATTAGGTCAAATTCTCAAAAGTTAGAGGCCCTGACTGTGATACCCTATAGGCAGATCTACCACTGTCCGCTGGAAGACTGACCTACATAGGCAGATCTACCACTGTCCACTGGAATACTGACCTACATAGGCAGATCTACCACTGTCCGCTGGAATACTGACCTACATAGGCAGACACAGTTTCATTTAAATCTCACAATGCTGCCAAAACAAGAGTGGCTTTGCAGTCAGACAAACCTGAGGTTTGACCTCAGTCTTTGTAGTGACTAGCTCTATAACCCAGCATGGGTTCCAAAACCTTTTTGAGCTTAAGCTTAGCTGTCTAGGTAAAGCTGACATTTCACATACTTAAAAGGATTAAATATAAAGGTATAAAACTGCCTAAGGTTATGCCTGACATAAAGGAAGTGATTGATAAATTACACTTTTTAATGCTGTGACTAAATTAAGCTTTTGTGGAGTTAAAAGACTGAGCAAATACAAAGCCTAGTTGTAGCTGAGCTTTGGTGAATATACTTTCATCAATCCAAGTGTGTAATGAACTCATATTTCTAGTCATGACCATTCCTAGAAGGCAAAACCCAAGAGTAGGAACTGGGTCTTCCGCCTGGCCCTACTTAGGAGCTCTACACAAGGATGATGTCCTGAGTAGCCTAGGTGTCTCATCATGGTCTGCATCCTCAGCCTTGGCCATCCTCATCGCTTGCCCAGGTCTTTCCTAGCTCTTGGCGGCTGCCCCCCCCCCCCCCCCCCCGTGGTCTGCCTGCTCTGTTTAATAGCTCTCTGTTAATTTGCTTTCTGCATAAATGTGTAGCCCTTCCTGGCAGCCTGTGCTCATCTGACAGACCTCTGAGAAATGATGTATGATGGCTGCTGTCAGAGGCTGATGAGAGGGAGCAAATTGTGTGCTTACTGAGCTGGATGCCTTGGCCAGTGTTTTCCACTGTATGCATTACCTTACACCTACCTTGCCAATTGAGCAGGGCTTGTCATGCATTTCATTTCTGAGCTAAAGTGCTGAGGTATTTTAACAAAGGCCACGTGAATGTTAGCAGAGCCAGAGTTCACCCCCGACTCACTGTGTATTCACTCATAATCAGCTCCTGCCTTGCTAAGCTTGATCCTGCTCCTAGGGACTGATGAGTTTCTGCTCCCAAGCAAGTTAGTTGAGAACTAACTTAGCAAGGGTATTAAGAAGCTCAAAGGGGGACTGGAGAGATGGCTCAGCCGTTAAAGGCTAGGCTCACAACCAAAATATAAGAAGCTCAAAGGGACACCCTGGACTAGTACCCACCCACCTTCTCACTCCCTGCTGACGGGGTATAATGCAGGGCCTCGACTTGCACAAGAAGATCCAGAGTCCATCATCCACCTATGGAAAAATCCTCCATTGTTTATATCTGGGTGGGTAAAGAGAGAAGAATTTACAAATATCCCATTTTATTCATTATGCATTTTTTAAATTGGTTCATAAAGTCTAAATCTAAGGGTAAAGTGTCTGTGAATTTACTCACAGATTGCCCAATCCAGTGACTCTCCAAAAATGGAGAAGTGATTCTTCCAATAAAGTTGTGACCCAGAGAATATTGCTCTCTGTTAGGTCTCCAAACTGATTTGTGTCTTTGGGGTGTTATTTTCTTAGTAGTAATTGAAATACTGTATCTTCATTGAGTTTAGCATGTAACCCCTTGCTTCCTTTCCAAAATCAGGCAAGAAGGGCCACTAGTAAGTACCTACCAATGCAGCAGCAGTAATTCCATCTCCTACACTTACTGTTTCCACTCCACAGAAGCAGATGTACGGGAGGGTTTATCATCTGCTTTTCTTCTTTAGTGTAAAGTCTCAAGACATTTTAATGCCCCTCCTCACTATGTTTCAACCCAAACTTAAGTTTATTAAGATGCCTAGTATAAAATTTTCGACCATATATCTAAATGTTGTTCTCTTTTGTTTTAACTCTTAAGTAGCGGGACAAAACAGTTGGCAGAGTTTGTATTTCTAGAAGATTTGAGGGTTCCTGTTTCAAATTTGAAGACTTCTGGAAGAGCCTTTAAAGTGAGAGCCTAAGACTGGACCTCACTCTTTAAGAAGAGCTGGGAATGCTCCCCTTATTTTGTGCTCAATTTCCCATGCTTATCACATACAGGAGACCTTTGGAATTTGTGCAGATTTCCAAAGCCAGGACTAAACAAGCAAACAACAAAAGCAATTGTTACATTGAACTGTACCCAGGCCTACATGAGTCTGCCTTAAAAGGTTTTCCCATGTTGCTTCAGTATAATCAGGTGGAGAAACGAGAAAATGTAATTACTATGTTGACAAGTATTTTAAAATCCCCAAATAAAATGACCATAATACGAGAGAGGAGTCAATTTTTGCCTCAGTGGGTTGAATTGATGGAAGAGGAAGGTGTGGCTCCTATTAATCCAAGGGCCCTGTGGTCAGTCCTCCATGGCTACCAGCCCCAGTGGGGGATGGGGAAAGACTCATTCACTCACCTTCTGGTTGCAGGAACTGCAGACCGCCACTGTGGCAGTTCTAGAACCGAGGAGAAAACACCCACAGGAGCAAAGAAGGCCATGTCTCACTTCCAAATTAAGACAAGACATTCCTCCATGTTTCCGTAGCCCACAGACTGCTGCTCTTTGAGGCCAGCCCCTCACAGCTTTCCTCTTCGTAGAGTGGAGTTGCTGAATCTAGTGCACTGCTAACAGTCCTTTTCATGCAGTGGTCCTAGTGAGACATGTGGACTCTGGCATCAAACAATGCAACTCATGTTTGATTCTGGATAACCTTACATGTTGAATAAAATAACCCTTGAGAAAGAAGCAATAAAAGCACTGTAAGAAAAATGACTCATGTTTCTAAGATGTCTAAAGTGATCACTCATCCCAACAAATGGTAATTCTTTCAAGACACAGTGGGCATGTACCACACTTATAAAAGTCTGGAAGAAAAGCCTTGCATTTTTTAATTGTGTTAAAATATATCAAAAGAATGTTTCTGGTAGGCTGTTCCAGACAGTGTGCTTAAAAACAGAAACAAAATAAAAAAGTCCCATGGACATACAAGTGAAGGTGGATTGGCCAGAGGGATCCTTGCTAACCAGGCAGGCATCTCGGCTTGTTTATGTGACTCTAATTGTTTTCAATTTCTGCCTCTATTTGTTAGAGTGCAAAGATGTGAACAAAGTGGCATATTGCCCACTGGTGCTGAAGTTCAAGTTCTGCAGTCGAGCATACTTCAGACAGATGTGCTGTAAGACCTGCCAAGGACATTGACCCACGGAAAGCCAGCGAGTCCTGTCACTTCATCGTGGAAATGCGTCCATCAAAGAGAGCCACCCAGAGGATGAGGATTGATGTCCTTACAAAAGCATTACCCTGTGGAAAATGTAACCACTGGTCAGCCCCAGCTGACAGGATTTCAATATTATTTTAACTTCTGTGAAGTGGGATTTATTGATCCAAAGTGCTGGACACGGTATTAGGAGGGAATGCCAGATCTGAGAGATCCAGACAACGCAGGGAGACTCGCTTACTGTGGAACGTTTGTGTTCTTTCGAGTAAATCTAATAGCCTGTTTACCTCCTTGGACCATTAAGATAATTTTTATTATGGCCTTAGCAATGACACTGAATCCATTTGTATTTAAGACTGTTTAAAATGTAGTTATTATGACTTGGTCAACTATGGAAGTAGAGGAGATTCAGAATTCTGAAGTCATAGCTTAAAATATTTTCTATACTTTATCTCACCACAGTAGCAGCACAATTTAAATTATAAAATGGGCTTGGAACTGTAATTTAAGAAACAGTTATAAATCAAAAGTAATGAAAGTTTGTATTATTTTTCTTTATCACACTTGATTTCCTTAGGACTAACCCCCTGTTCTGAACACTGCTGTGAGCCATGTATAAAGCTCTATTAAACTGAACAGCGAGGGACTTGGGTTGAAGCCGTGCGGCCATCCGCTGCAGCTGTGTGAGTCTATAAATTCAGTGCTAAGAGACTGTGGCCAACTTGCCATTGTGCGAGTGAAGCTGAGATTTCCATTAAAACTTTAAGAGAAAACCATTTCCATTTCATGCCGAAGCCAGACCTAGGGTATGGCAGAGACTGAAGTACCAGGCCCGTCGCAGCCATCCCACAGGATGCCTTACTTCTTGTTTGAGTCACCTGACTCCTTAGTGTTTACATCCCCACCAGCCACAGATCAGCTCTGCCCGGTTGGACTGTTGCACGCATGCTAAGCTTATGGAGATGATGCCATGCAAAAGACAGGCTGGCTTAGGAAAGCCAGGCGGGCCCTTTTGCAATTTGCTGACAATACGATGGGTTCCAGATGTCCCTTCTTTGATATGGTAGAAGGGCATTTATTTATATGAGAGCAAGTGTGTACGTGTGTGTGTGTGTGTGTGTGTGTGTGTGTGTGTGTGAGAGAGAGAGAGAGAGAGAGAGAGAGAGAGAGAGAGAGAGAGAGAGAGAGAGAGAGCAGGTGCTCCCGAATGTGGGGACAGATGAGTTTGCTTGCATATAAATGTGCTATTTCTGTGAGTTTTAAAGTAGGGAAGGATAACAGCCAAAGAAGGAAAGCTCATGGAGATCACAAAGTAGAAGTTTAATAGTCACCCAACCAAGAAACGGTTATGGATATTCTAAATGGCAATTAAATGTGAAACCTGGTTTCCTGGGCAAGTCAAGTTCTAAGATCACTTCTGACTGAATTGAGGAGACTAGCTTAGGTCTTCCCATCTTTCAGCTTCAGAACTTGCCGTCAAAAGACTCTACAGCTAGATTTTTTTTAAGGGTACTTGTTTATTGATACTTTGTACTTGAACACTTGTAGCTTGTAGCAGGTCTTTGGTGACTGTGCTTTATGTCTAGCACACCTCCTTAGTCCTTCATGTATGTGCACGTGTGTGCACATATGTGCCCCATGCATACACAATCATCTGAAACACAAACTAAATGGCTACTTTGTAACAAAGAGAATCTTTTCATTCAAGAGGATGTCTCACTTATACCTACCATTGTGCTCTGAAATTACACTTCAGTGGGTCACATATGTGGTGACCTTAGAAGAAACACAGTCACCGAAAGCCCCCTCAGCTTCTGGCTTGCTGTGTACAGCTGCCCGGGATGTTACCCCACACTCCAGAGTACCCAGCCACATACCGTCCCCTGCTTCTCTCTCAATACCATCCCCAAGTTTTCCAGAGGAGGCTTTTAATAAAACAAAAACTATTGTCAAGACCTCCATCTAACTGCCCTGAGAAGACCAGCCCAAGTGTCATGTAGCCATTCCATTAAAGGAAGGCCCATGGAAGCCTGGCCTAGACTTGAATTCCCTTGGTCCTTTTCAAGGGACAGTTAACTTGGTGCTAATGTGCCCTGGTGAAATAAGGAAGACTCAGTGATTCCTGGGACAGTTTACACATAGGCTTGCTGTCCAGATCTGATTGTTACCAACATAAATATTCGCTCATGCTTTTATTTCAAGAAGACTTCTTATAGTACCTGTAAGAAGCTGTATTTACCTCACTGGGAAGCTAACATCACAAGGGCTGTCCCCCAGGTACTGTGCAGGGCCTGCCTCAGCTGCTGCTGAGGGGAGAGATCAGCCCATGTTCCCTCCAGGACGTGCGCTGCCGGCACTGAGGGTGGGCTACAGCCTTCCACAGGGGAGCAAAGCATGCATGTATCAGGATTCAGTGTTTTCCGTTAGACCCTGAATTGAAATATGAGCAGGTTAAACAAAACAAAAAGCGTCTTCCATAATGCATCCCAACACCGATGTTGCTGTTGCCACCACCTGTGGCTGCACAAATCTCTGTTCTACATGGTAACAGAAGGCACACCAAAAGTTGTGAGCTATATTGACTACTTAGGGTACAAGAGTACCCATGGCTGGGAACAGTGTCCGCCACTGGTATAAAGGCCCTACCCAAAAAGAACGTTAAACGTACCCAAGTGATTAAACCCCTAAAGACAGGTATGGTTTCCCAATAGTCCATTTCATTAGGCATTTATGTATTCGAGTGAATGTCTCATAGGTATCCTTAATAATACAGAACAAAATTACCTTTGTATTATTGTGATTAGTTGTTGCTTATTTTATACTCAGTATTAATGTGGTACACTGTTACTTTTTTGCTTTTGTAAATTATATTCTAATTTATTGCCATGTTTCCTAACACCTGTCCTTTATTCATTCCCTGCTTGTAATGAAAATGAAAGTCATTTAACACTTGATGGAGTGAAATTTCATACCAGGCACAGATTTTTTTTAACATAGATAATTCAGTAAATAATAAAATTTCAGCTTGTAAAAATGATGCAGATGAAATTGTCTATTTCCTGAAAAGCTTGTGTTAAACTTGAAGCAGAAAGTGCCTGTCCCTTCGGGTACCATCCCTAGTCTACGTTTACCCAGGCAGTGCTATGATGGAGGTGTTTACAGTAATCTTATCACATCCTCAGGTATCACATCATCGCATCTGTTGAGTGTGTTAATGCTAAGGCTGCAGGATTTCCAGTGGGCTACCGCTGTGGAATTGCTTGCCACCCAGCAGCCTATTCTTCTAAAGCTAGATAGGAATCCATGGCCACTGCCACACACCTTCATTCATCCAGTGCACATTTTCCCTCCTTTCTTTCCTCCCCTGTAAATTATTTGTGTTATTAAAGATACAAGATGCTTCACTGTGGAAAGAGTACTAAGCAGTGAACTCATACTTTGAAGGAGTTTTCTATGATGAGGCCATCGGGTACAGAGAAACATGGTGGGCACACCTTTTCATCTTTAGACGTTTCCTTAGGCTGACGATAATACAGAAACGTGTGTAATGTTTTCATAATAATAACCTCATCTTTTAACTAAGAAGATGTGAATTTTTTAACATGATGGTGTTTTTACTCTACCATCCCATGTCCCATACATACACATGCAATATTGCACATTAAAATTTAATTGGGCCAGGCATGGTAGTATATAGCTATTATCATAGCACTTAGTAGGTTGAGGCATGAAGCTAGCCTTTTCTATGTATCAAGACCCTGTCTCAAAATAACCAGTCAATCAATCAGTCATCAATCAATGGGTAAGATTGAGCCAAATGAACTGATTATACAATCTTGGGAGAGTGTTTCCCCTAGGCTCTCCTAGGCCCCAAATGTGATAACACTATAAACATTCAATTAATGGAGAGCTTATGGGAACCTGCCCTTTCACCACACACTGCATTTGTAAAGCCCGAGTCTGCTAGGGCTGGGAGAAGAGACACCAAAGAAGGAAATTTGCATCAACTTAAACTCCTGGGACTATAACAGATCTATTTTTGTGCTTTGCTTTCAAGCATCCAGTGAGATGCTTGCTTTCCTTCTGATGCATCTGTAAGATGCTACCCTGACTCTCAGCAGATTCTCCTACTCCCTAGGGAGCACTAGTCCTACCCCTAAGCCATTATAGGTCAAAAGGCAGGGTATTTGCCCAAGTAAATTAAGAACAAAGTTACATACTGACCTGGGTAACAAAAATGTGAATTTGAATGGCTGACATACAATTAATTCTTTTAAAAGAAGAAAAAAGAAATGTAATTCAGAGAGAGGAAAAAAAAACCTTAGCCCAGGAGAATTGGAAATTCTAAATAAGTGGTCACAGTCCAGACACAGAATCAGTCCTGGATAAAGAGGAGCAGATAATCTGCACTTGGAATTTTAATTTGTGTCATGAGAACTCATGTAATCATTAGAATAACCCAGCGCAGGGCTTCAAAAGAACGGTTGCTCAAAGGAGTTTTGTGCTTCAGATTTCAAGACTCAAGCTCAAAAGTGAAGTGGTCTTGTCTCTTCTCTTTCTCCAAGGGTTACTTTACATGTCTATGTCCTTCAAATTCTCCCGTAGACAGTGTCTGAGGCTGGAATTGGAGCTGTGGCTTGGCAAGTGAGGGAAGCCACTACTATACCTGTGTTGACTCTTGGTTCACGCCTTCCCTTTGCCTGTTGAGAACCTTGACCTACCTAAGTAAGGAGGCTGGTTTTCACCACAGTGTCCTGTTTTCATCAAAATGACGTAAGGCCCTGCACTGCCTGGTGTCTTTGGTTCTGAACACTGAGGAACCTGAATATTGTTTTTCACCTCAAGGGTACAAAGAATCATGTCTGACCAGACAGATCTCATTATCTGGTCCTTATTACTTGTAAAAACTAATCCTCTCGGATCTTGAATTGGATCTCTCTGGTGCTAGTCAGCTGTAAAAGTACCTAAAAGAAACAACTTAAAAGAAGGAAGGACTTTTCTTGGCTCATGGTCTCGTTCCATGACTGGCTGACCCCACTGGTTTCAGGCCTGTGTCCGGGGAAAGCAACAAGCTGGGAAGGCCTGGTAGAGGAAAGAGTTGCTCACTCCAGGCAGCCAGGAGGCAGATGGAGGAACAGACCCAGCCTGTGCCCCAGAAAGTGTGGTTGTGGGTGCAGGTAACCTTACGAGTTCACACTACTGTGCACACAGTCAATTGCTGTTGGGGCCACTGAAATCCCAAGCAAAGACAGCAGTAGGAAATGTCAGCCTAGAGCCACCCCAGGAGTGAGAGCAATCAGTCACCCCTTCATCTGATTCAGAGTTACTTAGCAACTGTACCACTCATGTCCTGTGCTAGGTCTTAGCATATGCTCTCTCATTGGACAGGTTAGACCAGAAGCCAAAGGACAACACTGTCAACCAGCCAATCACCAACAACTGAGTTAGTTGTTAGGAGTCACAGAGCCAGTGAGAGGATTGCTGCTTCCTTGTCATGGGGGATGGGGGGTGGGGTGGGGGGGAAGTAGGGACAGGGGGCTGTCCATATCTGGGATGGGAAGTTGGGTAGGATGCCCATAGGTCAGCGAGAAACTGATTCACTAGACCAGAAGAAGTGGGATCCTCATTCCTAGAAAACAGTAGGAAGGATCTCAGGGTCCAAGAAGGATGAGCTCTGGTGTGGTGGGTGCTCATGTTCAAGATGGAAATGCAATGTCTGATGACAAAATGACTATTGGGGACCAAAGTGGTTTGTAAGTGTGTAGTTAGCCTTTGTGGGAAAGGAGATCAGAGCCAGTCTAGGACAGAAGATGTCTGCCACAGCCATCTGCAGGGCACATTCACCTTCCTGGAAAACCTTGCTGTAAGTCATGGAGCCCACTCTTGCCTGACAGCTCCCACTGACCTAGCTGACCTAGTTCAGCGTAGTTAGAACACCGATTCCCAGGTTGGCTTCAGTATACGTTTTAAGGAAGAAAGGTGAGATTTTCTCTATTTCAGTAGAGTAGGACCACTGGGGACTGGAAAACTTAGGCCATTAGGTTGCCGCCAGTGAGAACGCTCTTTGACCTTCTGTGGTAGGTCCACAGAGTGGAACCAGGTGTTCTTTCAGCCTATGCCAGAATGTACTGGCCACCCAACTGGCCTCCTGCCTCCAGTCCATGATGGGCTTTGTCTGGCCCTCTACCAAACAGCTGTTCTGAGAGCCACAGGTGGCCGCCCATGTTCATGCCCAGCCAGCAGCTGCACTGGCCCGACTCAACCTGGCAAGATATGTGGCTCTGCCCCTCTGCCCCAGCTTCTCCCTAAGCCAGGTTACTCAGGGGATGAGCGAGGGAGCAAGCCAATGCTTCATTAAATGCACTCACAAGCCAGTCTGTGGCTCAAAGACAATCAGATTGCATAGTATGCTCTTCCCCTTCTTTAAATATCATCAAGATTGGTATGTTTCAAAAATCAAATTAATCTGATATGAGTGAATAGAACTTCAGTTCCTATGTGTTGTGTATATTATTGATAGAACAAAAAAAAAATCATTTCCTGGTGCTATCCATGGTTGATAGGAAGATAAAGGACAATGACATCCCCAACTTCAAAAACTGGTGTTGGAGAGGCCACCCTAAGGACTTAGATGATAATGACACACAAGAGCATATTGGACAGACAACACCCACAGAGGTGGCTAACCCATGTGCTGTAAGACAATGAGGATGGGCAGAAAAGTAATCACAGACAAACTATGAGACTAAGAAATAATCTGGCTCATAGTTTTAAACTTTACAAATAAGAAACCATCAGGGAAAGACATTTTCAGTCAAGCCTGGCTACCTGAGTGTGATCCCTGAGACCGACATGATGGAAGGAGAGAACTGATCCCTGTAAGTTATACTTTGCCCCCACATGTATGCTGTCACACACACACACACACACACACACACACACACACACACACACACACACACACACATTTTAAGTAAACACAAAAGTCTTTTAAAACCTTTCGAACACAAAAAATAACAAAAGTAAGCATTTTATTTTGAGATTAAAATAAGAACTAATTTTGAGGGAGTGAAATGTTATGGGAGAAAATTCCGTTTATATAGAGTCCACGTGTTGAAAGGTAACAGAGAATGATAACTGGGCAACATATATAGAATGTTACTGGATACAAGAAGATGTGATTGCCTGACGTGCTTAAAGCCAACATCTCCATCAATATGGGATGGTCCCACTGAAGGGAAGTGGTAAAACCATGATTTTAATCCCACATTTAATCTCTGTAAGATGAATTGCTGAATGGTCTTATTAATAAAAAAAAAAAAAAAAAAAAAAACCCTGGAGCCAGATACTGGGGTGAAAGCTGAAAGATCCGAGAAGTAGAACAAGCCACAGCCAACCTCACCTGGACAACTCCTCATCCGATCCTGTTTCCACGAATCTGCAGACTGAAAGCTTCTGAGTCCTCACCCAAATGGATCTCAGCTGAACTGCTGCTAAAAGCCTAAAAGCTTAAAAGCCTCTAATTCCTGGTCCTCACGCCTTATATACCTTTCTGCTTCCTGCCATCACTTCCTGGGATTAAAGGCATGTGTCTTTCACAAGCAAAGACATGAGATCTCAAGTGCTGGGATTAAAGGTGTGTGCCACCACTGTCTAGCCTATATGTCTAATCTAGTGGCTGTTCTGTTCTCTGATCCCCAGATAAATTTATTAGGGTGCACAATATATTGGAGGACACAATATATCACCACAAATCTCAATTTCAGAAATTATTTGTACAAACAATCCCCATCTCTGGCTTTTAAAATCACTATGTCAGAACTCAACTTCCCAAATGACTCCTGTTCTCTCCCACATCATCCTAGAGATCACCCTGTGTTCATTTTAACAGTAAAACAAAAATTCAGATCTGTTTTAAATTTGCTTCTTTAGACTATCTCCCAAAGTAGGGTGGATTGGCTTTTTGAAAAAAGTCCAAACTCAATCAATCCCAAATCTAGTGAGTAATCTGCATATAATAATTTTGGCCAAAAATAG